TGAAGTCCTGCCCTACTCCTTTACCTTGACACAACTCTGTTCCAACAATGTTGCTGAGTATCAATAATTAATACATGGGCTTGAAATGGTCGTTGATATGAATCAATTACAGTTGCAAGTATTTGGTGACTCTCAGTTAGTGATCAATCAGCTTCTAGGTAGTTACGAGGTTAAGAAGCTTGAACTACGCCCATATCATAGTTACGCTAAAAAGTTAATAGGGTGGCATGTGCCAAGGAAAGAAAATAAGAAGGTTGATGCTTTAGTTGCCCTAGCTTCATCATTAACCCTGCCTGATCAAGCACACGTTACTATCTGCCAAAAATGGGTAGTACCGCCGCCAAATGAGGCTGAAGGTGAAGAAAATGAACTCAAGCATCTTGTCGTTGTTTCTGAAGTTGAGAAAGATGAATGGCGACAACCCATTATCGACTACTTATGCTATGAGATACTTCCAGAAAATCCGCGGAGAAGGACTGTAATCCGTTGTCGCGCACCTCACTTCCTTTACTACAAAGATACCTTAAATAGAAGATCATTCGAGAGAGTACTCTTGCGATAGTTAGGGGAAGATGAAGCACTCCAATCTTTGCAAGAAGCGCATTCTGGGTATGTGGGTCAGACCAGTCTAGACCAAAGCTCCACTTCCATATAAAAAAGGATGGGATATTATTGGCCAACGATGGTAAAAGATTGCTTGGACTATGCTCGAAGATGCAAGACTTAATTCCATGAGAATTTTATTCATCAACCTCCTGAAGTGTTGTATCCTGGCCATTTAACGGTTGGGGATTGGATGTTGTTGGACCACTGCCAAAGTCCTCTGGTGGGCACCTATACATCTTAGTTGCAACTGACTATTTCTCAAAATGGGCTGAAGTTGTTGCTCTTAAGGAAGTAAAGAAGGAAAATGTTGCAAGTTTCATCCGAGTAAACATTATTTATCGTTTTGGCATTCCTTGTTACATAATAACGGATAATGGCAAGCCGTTCGCCAATAGGTTGATGAACAAGATTTGTGAACTCTTTGACTTCAAGCAACGTATCTCTTTTATGTACAATGCTGCCGCCAATGATCTAGCCGAGGCATTCAATAAGACTCTATGCAACTTGTTAAATAAAGTCGTCTCCAAATCCAAACGAGATTGGCATGATCGTATGGAGGAAGCTCTGTGGGCATATAGGACAACTCACCGCACGCCAACACAAGCGACCCCTTATGCACTCGTCTTTGGAGTCGAAGTCGTCTTTCCACTCGAGCGTCAAATACCTTCATTACGATTAGCTATTCAAGAAGTGATCACTAACGAAGAAAATGCTCGACTTCGGTTATCAGAGTTGGAGGCTCTCGATGAGAAGAGGTTGGAAGCTCAACAGAGTCTTGAATGTTATCAAGCTCGATTGTCTCGCGCTTTCAATAAAAGAGTTCGCCCGAGATCCTTTCAAGTAGGAGATCACGTCCTTGCCGTACGAAAGACCCATAATTACTTCCCATAAACTTATATGGAAGTTCACTTCAAAATGGGATGTGCCATATGTCATACAAGAAGCTTACTCAAGTGGGACTTATAAGCTGGTTGATGTAGATGGCATGAGAATCGGTCATATCAATGGCAAGTTTTTGAAGAAGTATTATCCTTGAATTCATTACGCTCCTCGACGTACGAGCCTAAACTGCAAGTCATGTGTCACGACACTAAAATGGACCCCGTCGTGATGGCGCCTATCGTGAAACTAGGCTAGCCGACACAAACCCCAAAAACCAACCAAAAAATTATAATAAGTCATTTAAAAGTCATTAATAAGCTAAAATCCCAAAATGTAAGGTAGAATAGAACAATGCAGAAACAAAACACGGCCCGACATCGGGGTGTCACCAGTCATGAGAAACTACAAGTCGTCTATAAATACGAAAAGAAAACATATTATGAAACAAAGCTAATAGCACTCGCTAGCGTGACCCGAGACTCCTACATCTACACACAGGGTGCAGGGAGTAATGTGACTACGCCAACTCAGTAAGTAATAAAGATAAATGCAGCTGAGCAGTAAGAAAACACGTAAACCACAGCATAACGCTACAACAAAACAATATAAGTCCATAACAATGCAGTAAAACAGTAAAACTCGTAAAAACATCTCAGTTCAGTAAAACCTTTTAAAACATTTTTCAATAGTTTCAAACGAGTGATGAAAACAGTGAGTAAAAGGATAGAAACGTAAAACAGCCCCTCGGGCAAATCAAGTACCGCAACCGCCCCTCGGGCAAAATGTCAACAAATCCAGCCCCTCGAGCTATCTCCCAGTCACTCGTAATCAGCCCTCGGGCAATATCATGAAACAATAGCAGCCCCTTGGGCTAATATCACATCTCACACTGGGTACCCGCGCTCACTGGGGGTGTTCAGACTCCGGAGGGGCTCCTACAACCCAAGCGCTATCACAAGCCACCTCGTGGCATAACAAAATCAGGCCCTCAACCCCTCATTTATCACAATCAGTACACATGCTGTGGTGCGCAACCCGATCCCATAATAATTCTCAAAACACAGGCCCTCGGCCTCACTTAGTCAGAATCTCTCAAGCCCATCGGGCAACAGTAAAACATGATGCTCGGCGCATAATATCATTTAGAAATATAAAAAATGGAGTAAATATGGTTGAGTTATGAAAACATTAGAATACAGCATGACTGAGTATA